CTTCTCGGATGGAAATATCTATTTCCTCTAAATGCACAAGTATCTGTTTATTTGAAAATGGTTCTCAGGCTGATTCAGCATGTATTACAGGCAGATGGTGGTTTAGCCTCTTGTGTGGTTCTCACTGTTCCATTATCATTGCTTGGGATTCTTTTGGATAAACCCGGTATATTAATATTCTAAATAAATGAACCATATGTTTTATTGGTCAGTATTGTATTTAATTTATGTACCATCTCATTGAAAGGGGGAAAAAATGCAAGCCAACTTGTAACATTTAAAATATCAAATAATACAAAAAAACCAAAACAAAATAAAACAACAAGAGATTGTACACTGCTGGATTTCACTTTTCTTTTCACAACAGGCATCTATATATTTCACACACACATAGAAACAGCCCAAGAGATATCAGTAAAATATGCATGTTTGGGCCATATTAATATATTATTCATGCATCCCATTATTCAAGCACTGTCTCAAGAAGTCTTATCTTGTTTGACCACCAGTACACCCCTGTGAAATTCCCCTTTTCTTTATTTGAATTCAGTTAACATGGTAGTCTTGTGCATTGTCCACTTTTTCGACCTGTAATCAGGTGGCATGCTGAAGCAATTTAACTTAAAAAGCAGTTGTGGATTGGAAAACAAAATGACCGGATTTACAACGCTAGGGAGGGAAGTTCACTAAATAAAATGTCCCAGACTTTAAAGAGAGTTTTAATGGAAGTAGCCATTTTTATTGTCTTCAGTCCACTGAGCTTCTAGCTAGATTTTTGTTGTGGTGATCCCAGTGGTATAGTTGAAGTTTTTATGTCTGCTGCTCCCACCTTCCCATATCACAGAGAAAGGACTCTAATTAAAGTGTAATTAAATAGCTATGCATGCTCAGTGAACTGGTAGCTCTTGAAGAAACGCATTCGATTGCACAGAACTGTGCCTTAGTTTGGGAAGCATCAGGAAAAGCCTGACAGAGCTCATGTTTCTGGTCATTGCTGAATTCAGGCTCTGGTCTCCTGACATAATAAGCTTCTCAAGAGCAGTCTTTATCAAAAGGATTTCAAGAGCTCAGCTGTCTTGCTTTTATTACTATGAACAGCAGTAACGATGAGGATGGCCATTTGAAGGATAATATAAATCAATGGATGTGAAGGTTAATACTGTTGAATTTAAAATGGCTTCCCTTCTTAAAATGGTTTCTTGCCACCAATAAGAGCTGAAGACCCCTCAAAAGCACTGAACTCCATGATGGCTTTCTCTGCTTTTTCATAGGGGTCCATCCATTGAAATGAACATGGCTCCAGTAATACCATATGTAACCCAAACCAACAGTATAGGAATCTGGCCATTAGTGTGGGGGCACCCAGTGATATATATATGTGTGTGTGTGTGTGTGTGTGTATAATGTTTAGGGGTACTCTCATTTTGACTCAAGAAAATCACCATTTTATAGTTCAAATCCGGAAAAATAAATACGGTAAATGGACAAAAGTACAAAGAATATGCATTATGCTGGGAAAGGAAATGAAGCAGCCATCAGAGGTGGTAACAACGAAACTGACCAATCACCGCGCTAGATTCCAACTCCTACTTCACATATTAAACACTTGCTTCCGTCTGAGACTCAGGAAACACTGTGACAGGGAATGAGGCCGCCAATGGAAATGGTGATTCACCGTGTTAGAGAAAAAACTAAAATTTTTAAATTTTTTAGTTTCTTCTCCCGTTAGATTCAAAAAATGTTTAAGGGTATGCATACCCCAGTGTCCCCCCAGAAAAAAAGTACTGGTGGCACCTATCCTTTGGAACTTTCTATCATTACACAGCAGACAGGCACTGCCTCACTTGTCTTTTCAGTACCTACTAAACACCTTCATTTTTTTAGCAAGCCTTTTGAGTGGAGATACCTATTCCATTCTGTATCTGTGTTAGATCTGAAATTCTTTTTTTTACTTTTTTTTTTTTTAAAATATGGAATTTGCACTGTGTCAGCCTCAGTGCCAAGCTCCTTCCCATCCCAGTATACTGTAGCAAATCAGCCAAATGGAGGTCAGGCATTTGGTAGATCCCCCCCCCCCCGCACTGACTGCTGCTGCTTAGCTGGATACGAGCAAATTTAAATTCAGATGCCTATCTGACTGCATAATCTGATGTCCTCTAGGGTCTACAAAGCTAGATTTTGCCAATTGGATTTACATTTGTTCACTGAGCACTTTAATCATTCCTGGATTCTTGTTCCTGCTCTTTAGAAAACAAGACGCATGGGGCTCCTTAAAAATGGTTGTTTGTCTGCTCTCTACCTTCATTAATCTTATTTAGTTTCTGCACGATCACCACTGATGGGTTATGTTTTCTTTTCCAGAGTTCACAATTCTCCTGTTCAAATCTTTAATTTCCACTGCTACGACTCACTGTTTTAATGTCTTCTTGGACTCCAGGAATGAGCATCATGAACCATGTTGAATAAATTCTGAAATTTTATTCATTTTTCTTGTCCCCTGAATGATCTAGAACAAAGCCTGAAAATGCTATAGCTGACATTCCTTTCTATTTACTTGTATGAAAAGAAAACTGAAATTTCATGCATGAATGTTGTGTTTGGCTAACAACGGATGGTTCCTATGAAGCCCATTTCCAGAGGTTATCATGAAGGCCAACATATTGGGTACATTAATTGTATATATAGGATTTCTGGCAGTTGTTAAGGAGATGGGCAAGATAAGATCAAAAGTGTGTACAGGACCTGGAATACTTGGTAGGATTGCCACCATTTTTTGAACCTGATTTACAGCAGTATGTAGTATGTGATGCTTTTCCAGGATGCAGAACAGAGGAAGAAATTTTTTTGCCTGCAGAATTTCTGTCAGTCAGACTTCTGTTTTCAAGGGCACAGGGGAGGGTGGGGAAGCAGAAGTGAGAGGGGAAATGGTCAAACTGAAGACCTAGACTGAAAATCCAGCAGAACACCACTGCCTGCTCATGCAGCTGTAGATGACTAGTTATTATTTCTATATTAAGAGCCAGATCTTGCTCAGGGTTAAGGGCTCATAGTAATAACAGGAGAAGGAGGAAAAGGTTCAGGAATGATCTGGATGTGACCTTTTGGCACAGGGACTCAGTGGAGATAAGAGAGATATACTATTCAGTTCACATTTAAATGTGAACATCTAAATCTGCACTTTCCAAAGCAATATATAAACTGAAACCCGGCCATCCTTTCAAATTCACACTTCTCTGAATTTTGCAGGACACTTCCCCCTCTGAGAAACATGTGCAGAATGCATAGACTACAATAAAACCATTCAACCATTTCTCCCTCCAAGGCGCATTCCTCCATTGTCTCCTGAGACAGACAGATGCCAGCTACAGCAGCATAAAAATGCACATATAAGAGCAAGTAACATACAAAACCACAGAATGTGGGGAAATCGCTCTGTGAAAGATATGGGAATGTTGCAGACAAAAAAATGTGTATACTGGGGAGAATTCACACTAATTCTTTTAATGGGTTTTCATGAGGGCTTTAAAACAAATAAATAAATCGCAAACTGATGTGGAAATCTGGAGAACCAAACTTAAATTTGGAAATGTGAGAAACAGGAAAGCTGACCCCTAGGAGTCAGTAGGAGCTTTCAGGGGCCACTTGGCCAGCTGCAAACCTAGTGGTGGCAGTGTTGCACCAACTAGGAGCTGCAGCTAAGGGAGCATCTTCCTTTCCTCAGAGCCAAGTGGGCACAGATGTCCTTGTTTGCCCAGAATACTACTATCTTTGGGTACTGTTGCACAAGCAGAAGTTTCCAGCTGCAGTTTTGGACCTGCTGCAACACTGCAATAATAAAAAATGATTGTGATAATAAAAACACACATGATTAGGGTAATCTTTAAACCAGAAGCCAGAAGTGGCATAGATTTGCTTTACTCTTTTACAATATTAGATCTGTTCAACAAGTGGAACGCACCACCACAGACAGTGGCCCAGTTCACTCATAATGCTAAGCGAAACTGCAACGAAGCATGAATGTACCACAGTGCGGATAATCCCAGGTAATATGGTGCTGGTGGTTGGATTGGGGGAGCCAGATCATGCAGGGCTGGCAGCAGTCTCCGACTGTGTTCCTATAGACCCATATGAGGCATCCCAAGTTGCTTCTGATTCAGCACAGTCCAGCCATGAAGACAGAAGAGTTCTGGCTGATCAGCATCTATGTTTTTCTAAGGGAAGAAGGGGAGGAAGTTTATTTCTAGACTAACTCTCCCAATTGTTGGTATACACAAGAAACAAGATTCATCCCATATGCAGGGCATAGTCAAGCACCTTGCAGCATCTAATGACAGGGCTTTCTCTTCAACAAAGAAACATGATGCAACTTCTTCACAGAATAGCTCTTGTGGCTGCCGCATATTATGATAAGAAACATCAATGATCTCCAAGATGGGGATGTTTTCATTCTAAAGGGTTTTTTCTCTCCAATTGTACACGATTAAATCCTTCTCTACTAAATAAATAAACAAATCACTCTACAGAGCAAATAGATGCAAGAGTGAAACATTTCTCCCTGACACGCTAGCTTTCTGCATGTGGGATTTTTTTTCATGTAGGGTCTTTTATCACATAAGTTCCCACTTGCAGACTAAAGCAGTACTGCCTGAAGGTAGGTTTGGGTTGTTACCTGTTAATTGTGAGAGCTATGGCTAACTTTAGGGTTGCCATATTTCAAAAAGTAAAAACCAGGACACCCCTAAATTGTTGAGCTTTATAAAAGGAAAACCCAAGCTTTTATTGGCAGCCTTCGCTAACTTGCCCAATGTTCTTGGGCAATGCATTCTTGCCATATACTGTATGTCTCTCCAGGTACGATGGTTGTACTTAACCCTCCCATTGGAAACTAGGAAGCTGCTTTATACTGACTCAGGCCATTGGTACATCTAGCTCAATACTGTCTGCACGAACTGTCAGCAACTATCCAAAGATTCCGGGCAGGGAATAGCCCCAGCCTTACCTGGAGATGCTGGGAATTGAAACTGGGACCTTCTGCTTCCAGAGCAGACCATCTACCACTGAGCTACAGCTGTTCCCCATGTCCACAGGTTGTTTTTTGCTTTCCTTTTTGCAAATGTTGCTGCTCCGGATGTCCCCTCCATAGCCAGCCTTCTGACCCAACTGGAGGGGAAATGGCACACGTAAGAAGGTTTAAGCACCACTTTCTGATGCCAAATAATTCAGTGCCAATTCTTCCCTGCAAATGCCCTCACTGCTTTAGTGTTACAGGTCAGACATATGTCTAGGAAAACCCTGTGTGCTTCATAATGTGTAGTTCCATTCTTACAAATTGCTGTTACCTACCCAGTGCTTTTTGTCTAGAAAAATGGGTGCCAGTATTTACCATGAAGTTGTTACTGTGTCACACTTTTTAACAACGAAAAGAGAGAGGTGCGGTACTGTGTGCCCTCGAGTACCCCCTGAAAGAAAGCACTGTTGATACCCATACGGAAACATAGTGAAAATTGGGGACTTGACTAAAATATGGAACTAAGACAGAAATTATTAAACACAAAACCTCCTGCCTTTTAATCTCATGCTTAAACCAGAGCCAGACTTCATTTTCTTTAATATATATGGCCTAAAATACAATCACATACTCTCCTATTTTTAAGCATGAATAAACTGAGCCCTGGTATGGGCGAATTTCTCAGCTTCCTGTTGTTGTCCAGCTAGGATATATCACTGATGCCATTTTAATATAGCTTTAAAATTAATTTTGTATTTATTGCAGTTGGTATTAAAATAATTATTTAGAATGAATACAACAGATGTCACAAATATTTTGACTGCCAGTTAATACTCTGACATGCAACTATTTTTCTTTTCCATTTAAAAAAGTAACTATAAAGAGCTGAAGAACAGTACTGACAATTGAGCTTTGGGGCAAATGTAATTTTTCAAAACAAAAAACCTTCAGTGCAGTGCTGCTTTTCCAACTGTCTTGCTCAAGGCAACAATAAGGCAATGATAAAATATGTGAAACAATATCAAACCAATAACATGCCATATGCAAAATATGTAGGTAAATTAACCAAGCAACAAACAAAAAGGTCCAGAAATCTGTGTTTAGGAGCCAGTGTTATAAGCTTTCCCACAGGGTAGACTATGGCTTAGATCTAGATTGAGACTGCAGTCATAAATCTCCAATCAATGGTGCTAGAGGAGCATTTGTGCTTCTTGCTGGTATCTGCTGGTCTTCTCTGGCAGGCAGCCGCCATCACTACAGAGGGCCCCACTATGACCATGGAAGGGAAGACATAAGGAATGCTACTGCCACTGGTGTGATAGTCAGCACAGCACCCTGTGATAGTCAACACAGCACCCTGAAACCAGGCAAGAACAGAACAGAGTCAGCCATGGATCCTGAGCCATTCCATTCCAATCTGAACATCACAGCTGCATCAGCTTGGAACCAGCACATCAAAAAACACAGAACAAACTGCACCTTCCACCTTCCGCTTGTTCACGGGGCTTGGGATGTGGTGGTCAACCGTCAACCCACTACTCTGTACTGCTGCTTCCCAGCCAGGGGTAAAATTCATCTCTTAGTCCCGCTTAGAAGAGGCCCTCTGAAATAAGGGGACTTGCAGCTAGTCCTCCTGACTAACTTAGATACAGAGAAACAACAGCAGAGGAGGAGAAGGAGAAATGGCTGCCCCTTGATGCTTTGTTATTTATTGTTTTATTTCATTATATTATATTACCATTCATTTTTATTGAAAGGTACTTTGGTTATTGCTTTAATAGAACATCAGGATACAAATGATAAATGAAATAATTAAATTTAGACTAGGCCTGAAAGGGAGGGGGGGGAGAGATGATGAACAATTTGTGAAGCCAATGAAATGTACATTTTGAGTCAAATCACCAACTCATTTCACTGAAAGTAGATTATACATAACATCTGTGTAAAATGAAAGATTATATAACAAAATTTTAAAATATATTACAAGGGAACAGTATACAGGGCTGGAAGTTACCACGTAATGTTATGAAGTTTAGTAAAACTAGGAAGGGACTCACAGAAATGAAAGTCCTCTCAATGGGTTTGATAACATTGTGAGCGTGGCCTATGCATCTAAACAAATAAACAAAGGAATGCATAAATATGTTTCGCATTGGCCAAGAACCTATGGAGAATGTTTTGTGTCAACTGGATTTTGGATGGGCAGTGCTTTCGTTTTCTTTGCATAGCTTACATAGTCTTCTTGTTTCCCTTGGCTCTCAGGGAATGCTTTCCAGGGGTGGGCAGTAATAAATAAACTTCCTAGTGACTATTGCATTGGCCTCCTTCCAGATGTGAAGATTCTTGTTGTCCTTGTGGGTGCTAGGCAGCATCCAAAGGTTTATGGTCACTGTCACAGCCATCCGGCTATGATGCATTGCTTCCCTGTGCTATTATCCTGTCCTGTTAAGCCGATTCTCTTTATTGATGTCTTTATGTCGGGGCTGATCATGCATTGATAGCAAGTCGTGCAGGGCATCAATAAGTCTTTATACTCACATTTGTATCTGACACATGGACAGGTTCCTCCTAACCTTAGGCCTTTACGTCAACGAACATAATTATGAGTGCTGCTAAAGTGAAAGAAGAGGAGCTGATGAAAGGAGCTTCAAGAAATGTTGGAATGTGCACATGCTGCCATAAATTTTCAGAGAAGTACAGGGTTTGACCTGCAAATGCCCACTGCCCTTATCTGAAGGGTGAACGCTGCCCTTCTATACTGCCAATGGAAGGGCACCATTCAACCCAACCAGACTGGGAGGCAGCAACTTGCATAAGTTTCCTCAGTGAACAGGATTGAGAGTCAATGCAAACCAGGCTACGGAATGGATTCTGCCAGTCACTGTTACTTGCTGGACACAGGTGGCGCTGTGGTCTAAACCATTGAGCTTCTTGGGCTTGCCAATCAGAAGGTCGGTGATTTGAATCCCTGTAACAGGGTGAGCTCCCAGTTCCTGCCAGCCTAGCAGTTCAAAATCATGCCAGTTCAAGTAGATAAATAAGTACCGCTGCGGAGGGAAGGTAAACGGCGTTTCCATGCGCTCTGGTTTCTGTCACCGTGTTACGTTGCACCCGAAGCGGTTTAGTCATGCTGGCCACATGACCCGGAAAGCTGTCTGTGGACAAACGCCGGCTCCCTTGGCCTGAAAGTGAGGTGAGTGCCACACCCCATAGTCGCCTTTGACTGGGCTTAAACGTCCAGGGGTCCTTTACCTTACCTTACTTGCTGGATCACACCAGTTGGTGTCTTTAAAGGCTAAATTACAAACTCCCGTAACATATATCCCAGACCCACCAACTCTAGACAGAGTTGAGTGCTTCAGGCTGTGTTTCCCAAAAATGCTGTTAGAAAAGCTGATTTGTACCTTCATCAAACTAAGTCACCATGTTGAATGGATCCTCAACTCTATGCCCCATGTAACAGAGAGGCCCTTTCCTCTTTGAGAATAGATGAGCAGTGTAACCAAGCAGGAAGGAGTCAAGAAGGACACACAGCACCAGAAGTCCAAGATGTAGCCCGGGAAGAACACAAGAAAAACCCAAATAAATTAGATATAACTAGGAAAATATGGGAGCTGTTGAATGTGATTGAATTGTCTATCAACTAGGCTGCAGAATAGGCATCTGTAGGTTGACACACTGAACAAATGCTTCACCAGTGTTGATGCATTATTGCCTCCTGAAAGGGCACTCTTGTGCTATAGTGCAATGAAAGCAGGACAAAACACACACACACCCCAACAACCCTAGGACATTGGTGGTATGAAAAGTTACAGGATTTCAGCTTTGCACCGACTGGAAAATGAATGTGTACTGAAAGTGGGATTGTGTATAATCGCACCAATACCATTGTGAAATAAATGCACAATGAAAAAGACATCTGGAAGGGTCCTAGGTTAAAAATGCCTTGGATATAATGGGTGGTTTGGCCCTGGGAGACAGCAGTTTGGAAGCTGAAATGGGCAGAGGAAGAGAAAGCTGAAGGACAAACTAGGCATTACTTTAGTAGCATGCTTAGCAACCATGTATGAGTTTTAAAAATAAAATAAATGCTAAGTGTGTATTGGGACATGGGTGGCGCTGTGGGTTAAACCACTGAGCCTAGGGCTTGCCAATCAGAAGGTCGGTGGTTGGAATCCCCACGATGGGGTGAGCTCCCGTTGCTCGGTCCCTGCTCCTGCCAACCTAGCAGTTCAAACGCACGTCAAAGTGCAAGTAGATAAATAGGTACCGCTCCGGCGGGAAGGTAAATGGCATTTCCGTGCGCTGCTCTGGTTCACCAGAAGCGGCTTAGTCATGCTGGCCACATGACCTGGAAGCTGTACGCCTGCTCCCTCGGCCAATAAAGCGAGATGAGCACTGCAACCCGAGTCGGTCATGACTGGACCTAATGGTCAGGGGTCCCTTTACCTTTACTTTTAAATGCGTATTATTGTGTATGGGAACGAAATGCTCCCCAGCTGCAATTAGCTCTTTGGAGGGAGACACTCCCATTTTCTAAGTCAAACTTTTGTGTAGGATAGTGCTTTTATCAGGAACACAGCTAAGAAGGGGAGTCTTAAATCCCCACTACCCATGTGCAGTGGTCCTAGTGGAAAAAAACAAAAACCTCCCAGGACTGGTATTTAATCATTAAAAAAACTCCAGACATGATTGCTAACCACACCACTAAAATAATGTCTGATTCAGCCATGAGACTTCCTAGCTGGAGTTAGTGGGAGCGCAGACTTGGAAGCGACTGCAAAAGTATCTCTCTGTGAATCCATCTCAAGATGTCCTGCCTGCCTATAGGAGTGTGCTTGCCTTCTCCATGCTTTCACTGGTTAATAAAACAGATATTACGAATATGTCATAAATCTCCATTCCTCTTTCACCCAAAGAAAACCCTGCAGTGTTGCCATTGGAAAGTCTCATGTTACATCAGTATCTTTGGGGGTGTATGTGTGAAGTGTCCTTCCAATTTGAATTCAAGGCAAAGAAAAATAAAGAGGCCAAAGTGTCAAAAGTTTGGGAAATATCACT